TTTTAATTTTTATAATTATATTTTAATTTTATAATACATAAAATTGGAACTGATCCAGATCCGAATTTTCTAGATCTGATTGGATCTGGATCCGATATAGACTTTTTAGATCTCAATCAAATCTTGGTGGATCCGAACCCGATCCAAAAAACACTGATTGTGGCATTTCATTATTATGCGTCCTTTTTTTTAGCAGCTCTCTTTAGCTTGTATGAATGTATATTTATTCTTTTAATTTCTCTTCATTGATTATTACAGGCAGCTGCTTTCAAAGATTATCCTGCAAACATATCGCTCACCGCATTGATGTGCTTCATGGGTACAATCCAATGCTCTGTAATTACATTATTCATGGACAACCCCAAAGATTGGAGATTGGGATGGAACTTGAGCCTCTTTGCCTACGCCTACTCTGTAATAATCAATCTACTTCCCACTTCTTCCTCCTACAAATGGTTGCCTTTAATGTCACTAAATTTCTCCAGATTTTTTGTTACATGCGCGCAGGGAGTAGCATGCACTGCAATAGGAAACTTGGTTCAAACTTGGTGCATCAGAGAGAAAGGCCCCGTTTTTGCAGCGGCATTCAATCCTGTTAGCACGGTGGTAGTGGCCATTCTAGAGCCCCTACTCCTTCACGTAGACACTCATGTGGGAAGGTGGGTTTCACTTGGATTGTTCTGGTGTTGTCTTCCGGTGTTAGAAATCCCAAATGGTATATGTCATTTTCGGTATCTACAAAGATATCATTATCTCTTTTGTACATGGAGGTTACAATTATTTGTGTTTTTTAAATTTCAAAATGGGTGGTTGTAAGAGTGTCATTAAATAGTCATAAAGTTCTAAAAAAAATAAAAAGTTTTCAAACTTCGTGACTCACCCCAAGCCATCCAATTTGACGTCTAATGAGTGAGAATGATTGTAACCTCCTTGTACAAAAGATAAATGATCTCTTTGTAGACCATCACATGTTTCATTACTCTACCCCATCCAGATCACGCAATTCGGATGCAAATCAAGATTTTCTTTAAAACCCTGGTTGTAACTAAGAACCCCTAAAATAGAACTCCTTTGTGGACTAGCTTAATTCCATATTGATACCTTCAATTACCATTTATCATTATAAAGAAAGTACATGAATTCATCAATTAACAAATTCGCCTTTAGGTTTAAAGCAATGTTATCAATTGCAAAGAAAGTACATAAAAGTCCTTTAGTTCGACAAGGATCGAGCCGATTTTGACTTGACCAAAATAGTAACCAATCCCGTTACCGGTTTGATTACGATAGCACTTGTTAAAATAAATAATCCACCAAATAGTATGTGATGTTAATGCATATAAGTTAACTAAGAAAGCTCAAGTTGTATCTCATTTATTTTCCATTAGATAAGTATAATGAACATAGAAATACATTTATAACTAAACTGTACCTTCCATAGCATAAGTGCATAGTTTGTTTGGGCAAATTTTTTCTTAAAAATTAAATTTCTAAATTCATTTTCATCAAACATATTAATGAGTTTCTTTACACTAAAACCAAAACTTTGAATTATTGAAATTCTTGTTTTACTCCATTAAAAGTAAATATCATTTCCTAAAAAAACAAAATAATCTAAATTAGAAACCCCAAGATCACCTATACAACAACTCATGCTTGGTTATACTTTTGATAGCATTATCTAAGCTGACCTTTGTGTTTACCACTATGCAGTATATTAGGAGCAGCTATGGTTATTTTTGGACTCTACTTTGTGTTGTGGGCCAAAGCAAAGGACTACAAGGTGAAAGCAAATGAGACACTACCTGATTGCCCAGTTAAAGAAAATAACACCAATGTCAAGATTAGAGTTGAAAACAAGGCAGAAGAAAATAATGCTAAAGGCATGGTTCAACCATAGCCATAGAAGGACAATCAAAACATGAAGAAGTTTGGTCTCAGTAATTCCCACCCACCATTAACATATCAAAGAAAAAAGCTTCACATCAGTAATTATAGAAAAACAAGTCATACAAGAATAACTTTGACATCTGATTTCATGATGATTTAAATCATGCCAGAAGTACCATATGAAATGAAAGGATTTCCTTCTTTTGTTCTTTTTGCTCTTGATAGTGCTAGTATTTTTGTACAGGAATATAATTTTAGCTATTTTAAAACAATACGAGTTCAAAAGTTTTAAGTTTGTAAATGGATGTGGTTTCTCTGATGCCTAGGCTTTATGAAAACAAAATAAAGCGTCACCTCGAATCCTTGTTCGGAAAGTATTTTGGACATTGAAAATCTTCATGATGGCTCTAAAATAAATTTCCAACACAAACTATAAAATTTGAAGCTCAAAAAGTGGTACAAATCTCGTAGATCTGCAAACGCTAATTTGTAGGGAGAAATGGATGCTCTAGATGGTGTGTTATAATATATGTTATTTTTAGAGCTTGAAATATTTTTCTTTTTTTTTTTTCACAACCATAATAGTGAAGGCTGATATGATTCATTTGAAGGTTTTTTTACTCCAAAATTGGAATTTTCGATGAGTTTCGAGGTGAGGCTTTGCTTACTTTGATAGGGTTGCAGTCCTATCAAAATATCTTCCTTTTGTAATAAATAGAATTTAATCTTATTAGTTTACACTCTAAAATTTAGGGGGAGAAAAAAGTGGATTTTCAGTCGCACATTGACATTTAGGGAGGAGAGAAACAAGAATTTGTGGACAAACCATCTCAAACATCATACTCAGAGACGGCACTTGGACGTGCCTTGAAAATAATAAGATCCTTTTTCATTGTTATCCTTATTTTCTTAACAACTTACACTAACTTCACAGCCTTGTAATTCCCACAATTTGACCCTAGAACTCTCAAATAATATATAATATTGATCCCAGTAGGAAAGAGCAATTTGGAGCTTTAAACAATTTATTCTCCAACATAAACGCCAGATCATCTTTTTGATGGAGGATTGGATCCAAGGGTTTAAGAGATTAAGATTATTCTATTGTGATAATAATAACGAGGTGAGTCAAGTATGCTTGAAAATTTTAACGACCCAAAAGGCCTTGACTAGGTGGTTTACAAAGGAGATGAAATCTACTCTATGGACCCACAATATGATGTTATATTTACATAGACACCCCCTTACAAACTTTGGCCAAAGGAATTTTTAAAAACCCTAGATTTGAAGTCTTAAAGACCACATTAAGTCTAGTAAATCATAATGGACCTAGAGCTATTAAAATTGTGCCAAAACCAGTCGACACCTATCAAGTTATAGTAGACTCCAAGAGCTTTCCAACAATCCAATAATCATCAAACTATATCTCACCGTTAGGGCTTAGAAAAGATTGTTTGCACAAAATGATCAAACAGTCCCTAGGCGTGAGCCTCCGCAGGTCGTGCCCAGGCTGCACAAGTCGTCGTGCCTCACACAGCCTAATGGTCATGCGATATGTTCCTTCTAGAAAGCCTTGGATAAACTCAATATGTCAGTTCTTGGACGGGACCAAAAAATAACTAAAATACCCCTATCCTACTTGGATTGGAACTCTAGAATTAGCCGTAAAAATATCCATCTGACCCTAAGCCAAACCTGTAAATACCCCCTTAAAAATGCTAGAAAACCACCATTAGGTTTTCTAAAATTAGAGCAACAATATTCCCTTGTTGAGCTATACAAAGAAAAGACAAAAGGGGAAACCATCATGGGATAATATCATTTAACTTATGACAACCTCTTACAAAAAGGGGTTAAGAGATTCTTATTGAGATTATTAGATATTAAATTTTCATTTAAATAAAGTACGTCGTTAGGGGAAAAAAAAAATCAGAAATGCTCAAGTTCTTTAATTTAAAATTGGGAACCTTAAACAAACAGAGGCATTTCGTTAATTTAGCGCACCCTAAAGAAGCAAGGGTACTCGATTCATTTGGTTGACCTTTTTTTGGGAACTTTTCGAGACATTTTTTAATGAGGTACTTGAACAAATGAAAAATAAAATCCCTATAAAATCATGAACATGCCAAAACATCCTAGTAGGGTTTATTTTAAAAATTTTATTCCACTCAAGTACCTCATAAATAATATTTTTCATAATTACCCCAATTTATGTCCCAATTAAGGAGGGATATTTCAATAATTTAACCTATTTAAGAGGTTCCAAATAAAGAACTTGAATACCCATCTTGTTTAGAAAAATTAAATTACTAAAATGCCCTTCTTGTTCAAGTTTCTAACTCAAACGCATGGTGCATATTTTTAAGGGAAACGTTTATATAGAGCTGAGGCTCTAAACAATCAAATTCGAGCCCACCTCAAAAATTTCACTAGAAGAGATTATTTTGATG